TAATATTTAAGAGCGCCCTTTATCACTCCTGGGCCAAAGAAGGGAAACCATCCACCTCTCTCTTCTGAGAAAAAGAACAAATCAGTTCCCCATCTTCAGCCCAGGGGAAGCAAGAGTCAAGATAAATAGATAGTGTTGTATTAGTTTAGTGTTCAGGGCATAAAAATAGACTGAAATCTAAATACAAATTTTTAAAAAAATCAAACCATTAATTAAAAAAAAAAAAAATCCAAACAGCACCAAAATTCTCTCAGCAAGAACAGGTAAGTGTAGCCAAGTAATGCTTGAAACAGAAGAGTAACAAAGGGGACTTGTCTACCGGATATTAAAATATTATTCAATCTTCAATAATTTCAGTGGGTGGTACTGGAACAAGAACAGACAGAAAGATCAATGAAACAAAACAGGAAGTCCAAACACATACCCAAGAATCTTGAGTATGATGAAGATGGCATTTCAAACTGGTAGGGAAATGGGAGCTTATTTAACAGGTGGTACTGAGACAATGTATCATTGGGGGTGAAAATGATGGTGAGATGATTTGTACCCCTTTTAAAATGAGAAAAATGTTTCTTAAAAAAATCTTGGGACTTTATTGGTTTTCCACCAGTTAAGACCGCACGCTTCCAATGCAGAGGGAGTAGCTGCAATCCCTGGTTGGGGAAGGAAGATCCCACAAGCTGAGAAGCACAGTCAAAAAAAAAAAAAACCTCTCCAGGGTAATAAACTTTCTGTGCTTCCTGAAAGAGACTGAACTACATGGACATCTAACTTCTGCATATCAAATGATGTAACTAAGAAAAATATGAAAAAAAAAAAATTGCGGTTAGTAACAGTAAGACATAATGAACCCAGCCGGAGGCTCCAATGAACTGTCACTAACCAGCACACTAAATTACTTTGGAAGAATCACAGACCCATTTTAAAATGAAATTACCTAGAATACAAGTATTTTGCAGATGAGTTAAAAAAAAAATCTTACATACTGACTTGAAGAACACCACCCTATCCAGAACCATAAGGGAATTTTAGTTTAAGACAGCTTCAGAGTTCCAATACTGTAATCACTTCAGATATAAATCTTTTCTCAATTCCTTTTAAAATTCATTACATTTATAAAACTAAGGATACATCTACCCGCTCCTGTACAAAACCAGATCTCTGCTGACTTACCTCCTTCCCCCTAAATTCATTCCTCCTCTAGTTTTCCCCATCTCAATAAATGACACCACCACCCGCCCTTTCTTTCAAGGCAAAATCCTAGAAACTATCCTAAAATTTCTCTCTGCTTCATGGCCTCTGAGGCATTTTGCCAACATGTCTCCAACTTGGCTCCTGCATATATCTTGGGGCCATGCTCCTCTCTCCATCCCAACCATCTTCACCTAGACCACCTCCTACAGCTCCTTGCTCCCCCATAACCTATTCACACAATAGCATGAATTAACTTTTCAGAATATAATGCATATAATCCCTTTCCCATCTAAACTGTCCAAATGAAAGTCGCTCAGTTGTGTCCTACTCTTTGGAACCCCATGGACCATACAGTCCATGGAATTCTCCAGGCCACAATACTGGAGTGGGTAGCCTTTCCCTCCTCCAGGGGATCTTCGCAACCCAGGGATTGAGCCCAGGTCTCCCGCATTGCAGGCAGCTTCTTTACCAGCTGAGCTGCAAGAGATGCCCAAGAACACTGGAGTGGGTAGTCTATTCCTTCTCCAGAGGATCTTCCCGACCTGGGAATCAAACCAGGGTCTCCTGCACTGCAGGCAGATTCCCTACCAACGGAGCTACCAGGGAAGCCCAAAACCTCCAAAGCCTTTCTAATTCACTTAGAGGAAAATTCCATGACACCAGACACGCATCTTCTTTCTTTTATTGATCATCTTCAAGTTCCAAACTGATTCCTGTCTTATAATTTACCAGCTCTTCCCTCTGCCAAGCATGCTCATCAATGACATTCCCAGATCTCAGCAAACACCACATTCTCGGAGGTGTTCCCCAGACATCTAATGGAGAGAGGGCATCACTTCACCCTGCTCTGTTGTTCCACGGTACCTATCACTAGCTGAAACCCTCTTTTTAAGTATCTGTCCCTCTCACTAGAACAGAAGCTCCATGAGAACAAGCATCTTCACTTTGGGGTTCCCAAACATTCAGAGTCCAGACCCAAGGCACCATGCACGTACTTGTTGAACGAAGGGATGAAACCTAAGTGTATGGGATCATTTTGATGAACCAAGATCACTCCCGTGAACAAGAGCTATGGTATCTGCTCAGTGCCTGTGAAGGAGCGCTACTGCTGGCCTGTCTGAAGGTCACACTTTGAGTTTTGCTTCGCCTGCTTTCAGCTATCGCTGCACTGCTAACATCTATTGGTGCTCCCTCTCCTCATTGGAAGCATACAGCAGAACTGAAAAGTCTGTAATGATGGTGCTCTCCCATCACTTAAGTGCACCAACTTTAGTGCAGACAAGTTTATCTCCTTGAATTTTTCAAAGGCTTTTTAGCTCCTTTCTGAATCTAAGACAGCTAGCAGTCCCTAAATCTGAATTCTGACATCGGCAACATCCTAGCATAAAAGTACATCACAGTGCCATCTTTTAAAAACATTGCCATCTCCTTCAACCTAGAAGCCGAACAAAAATTTTACTTTAACAAACAAAAACATTGACTTTTTCCCCAAGGTAAAGAATGTATTCACCTTTCAGCGGAAATGTAGAACTCAGTGCCAAACTAGAGTTCTACCCTGTGCTAGAAGATTCAAGCCAACTTTTATACTGCATGAAATTTCCAGTTTAAGAGCTGAGTGTGGACTTTTGGCCCAGGCTGCAAAGCACAGCAAAGCCATAATTATAAGTTACATCCTATAACCTCCATCCCAATTTTGGCTTTCCCCAAAAGTTCCTTAAGGCTAAAATCGTCTTGTGTCATCTCCAGCAGCCAGTCTAATCACAATGTTGACAGGCTGAGAAGCAGAGGACCTTAACCAGAAAGGCAGATCCACCCCCAGGCTCCAACTAATGTGACTACTTAAGATCAGAGAGATACAAGAAAAAGTATGCAGGAAAGCTGACAGAAGGACTGAATAGAATATACCATTTGCTGGTAAGGGTTTTTATCAAAAAGGCAGAACTTCCACAAAGAAGGGTCAAAGGACAAATTATGTTTCTATTTTTCCCTAGCTGTCTTAAAGAAAATAAACAATGAGATAAAATCCTACATCCAAAAAAGATGAGGTAGGAGATTTGGAAAGGAGGCCAAGCATAGAGCCTCAAGCATGGGTTTTGGGGAAAGATCATTTCCAACTGTTAAATAATATCCAGTTTGCAAACCATTTTCTGAGTATTGCTGGTGTTACCAGACCCCTTCTAGTTTGTGATTTTGTATCTACGAAAAAGTATCTGCTTGGGAGGCAGGGAGTTACACATCCACTATTTGAACAAACCACTTTGGTAACTGTCCCACACTTGTGATTTCAAAGAACTTGTCACCAAATTGGAGTCATATAGATTTACTTTAAAAACCATGCTGTAAACAATGTATACAGCTCATCCTCAATTCCTGATTATATATTCTTTTTTTTCAAAAATCAAATGCTTTTTTGATGTACACCTGAAACACGGTAAATCAACTATACTTCAGTTGGGGGGGGGGACAACAACCCACAAAACAACAAAAAGCACAACTCCACCTAATTCAACAGATCTGGGAGAAAACCATGATCTGCACGTTTGTTCCCAAGTCATGATCTTAGTCAAATTTATGCTACCTTTTCTAACTTTTTTAGGCACTCAGTCCCCTTCTGGCAGAACCTAGGTTATGGGCTTAAACTAGATCCCAGTGGAAACACACAGGAATGGGGAATCAATGCACTGAAAAGGCAGACATTCTCTATTGCTCTTTCACCTTCCTTTTCAACCCTTTATTTCCTCCTTTAGAGGAACAGAGATCCAAATATGCTTTTCTCCTCACAACATCTAATGCCTGAACATTTAGACCAGGACTACAGTTAAAAGCTGAAATTATAAAGGTGATGGTTATAAGAACCAACAACAACCAGCTTGGCCTCGCTCAGTAATAACTGCTCTAAGAGTCCATTCCCAGCAGACCTCTCAGGTTGGTTTGCTCTGTGGTTGGATGAATACCAAATCTTATCTGTAGGGTAAGCATTTCTGTACTTCACACATATAAGGTTTCCATTAAATCTCTTTACTGAATCTATTAATACATCCTTCTTCTACCTCAAATTCATTCCAATATCATCTCTCTTTCACTCTTCTCAAGATTACTTTGGCTAATCCCTTTGTTAATCCTGAACATGATTCCAGCCACTTTTCTGACTCATTTGGCCAACTAGGACCCATACCGGGTAACACACACGTCACTAAATTGGGCTAGTTAACAACAAATCTAACATAAGCCAAGAATTGCTTTTCCCAAAGGTTCTCTTTCCAATTACAAAACAGTCTGGTGGGGTTGATGGGCAGCGTGTACTCCTTCCATTTACCAGAATAGTTTCAACAGTGAAAACTGCAAGTGGAAGGCCTCTAACCAAATTAATTTACACAGGCTCTAGTTCTGCAAGGATAAAAGTGCAGGTTTCAAAGACTCGAATAATAACCCCCGCTGCCGCCACTATCACCAGTATTGTGCTGAGATTTCCACTCAAGTGTTTGGAAATGTTCAGTCGTGCTCAATCAACAAAGGAAAGGACTTGGAGAAGAAAAGATGAAGTGCGGAGCAGAAAGTCCGCGGGAAGACTACATCCAGAGGGGCCAAGCTGGTCCGCTGGACCCCAAAGCCCCTGCTTTTGAGCGCTGCGCTCACTATACAGCCCCTGAGCCCGCTGCCAACGCCGGGCACGCCCCGCGGGGCACAGCGGCCCCACGGAAGCCCAGCGAGCACCGGGTCTGGGAAGCAGGCAGAGGCGGGCGCCGCCGGCGGGCCGCGGGACAGAGCGCGCGGATGCAGGACGCCGCCCGGGAGCGGGGGCTCACCTGAAGGCCGCCACCGCGCGGGTCTGCAGGTACTTCTGAGCGGTCATGACTCCCACGAAGAGAAAGTTCCTGTCGCGCGGGATGCCATCCTGGGCCTCGCCGTGGGGCCAGAGCCGCTGCCCGCGCGCATCCCCGCGCGCCCCGCCGCCCAGGGGCACCGCGGCCGCCTGCCCGGGCCGGCACGCCTCGGGGCTGGCGCGGCGCCGCGGGCCCGCCCGCTTCAACTCGGAGGCGCGGGGCAGCACGAGCCGCGAGGCCAGCACGAAACCCAGCACGAGCCCGAGCAGCACGCTGAGCCAGGCGCGCCGGCCGCGCACGGCCATGCCCGCGCCGCTCCGCCCGCCGGGCNCCTGGCGGCCCGCCCCGCCAGCCCGCGCTGGGCATCCCTGCCGCGGCGCGCGGCGCTGGCCCGAGGCCGTCTCGCCCGGCCTCCGGCTGCCGCGAGATGCTGCGCCAGCGTGGATCTTAGCAGGGATTTCTAAGAAGGGGCTTCTTGGTCCTCGAACACTGCACTCGTGGAGGACGAGCCGCACGTTCCTCCTGCACACACTGTCCTCAGACACACCCGCCTCCCCACGCCCAGCCCTCCAGCCGGGCGGACCTCTCCGGCCACCTTCCCTGCGTCCCGCCGATTCACACTGTATCTTTGTTTCCGCAGCTCTGTGGGTACGAGCGAGTATGTATAGCCTAAACAGCTCAGGAGCCGTTTGAAACGTGCATGACTGCAGACTGAACCGTGAATTCAGCTACCTTGTTCTCTGCTGCTAGTTTCTAAGCTAAAAAAAGAAAGAAGGAAAAAAAAAAGCTCTACTCAGTGTCCAGCCTTCTAACACTGGCAACATTTAAAGGATGTTGAAGAAATGGTAGACGATGTTAATACGCTTTTATTTACATTCTATGTGGAAACTCATCAGTTAGTGTCTCTAATCTGAGTCTGTTTTTTTTTTTTTAACATAATCCATCCATAAAAGTGCCGTGGATTTCTAAAGACAGTTTTTGAGAACCGGCTTCTCTATGATGGATTTTGAATTTTATGCACTTCTTCTTAAAACAGCTAAGGTAACGAAAGCTGATGAAATGACCACACAACAAATATTTGTGTAAACGGTATTATTATTTAGTCACCAGTGTGTTGGGTTTTTTTTTGTTTTTTTTTTTTAATGAAACTCCCAGTCAGCACAGTAGTTCCCTCGGCCTGACAGGGAACTTCAGGCCTTCATTTAAACAAATGAACCCAAGAATTAGGGATAGAAAATAAGCATGCTTGGGTAAACCTTGGATCTTTCTTCATTGCTAAGATGACCAAATGATGAAATATTACACAATTTAAAGTGCCATCTTACAGGAGAGATATCATCTCTGCAGTTAAATAGTGGTCACTCTTGGTATTCTTTGGGTATCAGTACTTTCTTTGGCACTTGTGATTTGTGCCAGATATAGTTCATTACCCACCTTCCCACAGGCTCCCTGGGTAGGTGATCCACATCTAAAAATAAAATACTCATTATACAGTGAACACAGGATTCCAACAGTGGTCTTGAGAAAAATGCAGAACTCATAATCATGAATCACAGACTCAAAAATCAGCCAAAGGGCTTTCCAGTAAGACCATAAGCCACAAATGCCAAGTTCCCCCAAATTCAGCAACAGCCTCATAATTCACAGTGATGTCCATAAAGCACAAATCTAGCTAGGTACAGATGTTCAATTTTTTGACATAGTGATTTCAGTATTTTCTGACTTACTTTAAACTTCTCTGTTTCCTCATCTAGACTAAAATCTGATTTAAAAGCACATAAGTGGTGTGTTGTTGTTCACTCAGTCATGACATTCAATTCTTTGCGACCCTGTGGACTGCAGCATGCCAGGCTTCCCTGTCCTTCACTAGCTCCTGGAGCTTGCTCAGACTCATATCCATTGAGTTAATGATGCCATCCAACCACCTCGTCCTCTACCATCCCCTTCTCCTCCTAGCTTCAAACTTTCCCAGCATCAGGATCTTTTCCAGTGAGTTGGCTCTTCACATCCATAACAGTGCTGCGGATTTCTTAAGACAGGTTTTGAGACCCAACTTCTCAAGAGTCTTCTTCCCCAGCACCACAATTCAAAAGCATCAATTCTTCGGTGCTCAGCTTTCTTTATGGTTCAATTCTAACATCCATACCTGACTGTCAAAAAAACCATAGCTTTGACTGACAGACCTTTGTTGGCAAAGTGATGTCTCTGCTTTTTTATACACCGTCAAAGTTCATCATAGCTTTTCTTCCAAGGAGCAAGCATCTTTTAATTTCATGGCTCCAGTCACTCTCCGCAGTGATTTTGGAGCCCAAGAAAACAGTCTGTCACTGTTTCCATTTTTTCCTCGTCTGTTTGCCATGAAGTGATGGGACTGGACGCCATGATCTTAGTTTTTAAATTATGTTTTGTCCTCCTCCATTTCCTGGCTCCTAGGTACCCATCAGTTCCTAGGTCAGCAGCCTTAGCTGCACACCTTCAGACTCAATGGGAGTGCGTGTTGCTTAAAATAGAATAACCTGTTTTCCATAAAGATTGGGCCTGAAGGTTTACACACCTGGGTCAAGGGAAATGCTACACAGGTCAAGTCCTCTGGACAAGTTGGGGGTGATGCTAGGCTAGAAGCAAGCAGAAGACTAGGGAGGGCGGGGTCGTGAAGGTGTCGGCCAGGGTCTCCAAGAGCCTGCACGTTGGGGTTGGGGCAGCTTCCTGGGGAAGTGAAGAGGAAGCTCCTGTGCAGCTGGAGGGTCTGGCTAAGGCAGCTCTGGGGAGGGACCCAGGAGTGAGGAGGCAAGGGCCTCCATAGAGGTCTGCATCAAGAGGCACAACTCTCCTGTATGGGAGGATTTCACAGCTGGAGGCAAGTGCCCAGAACCAAGGACTTCAGGAACAGCCAGAGGCCCCAAGAGCCAGACAAATAAGCCCGGCATGGAGGTCCATCCAGAGACTGGCCCCACTGCAGACGCAGCTGACACCAGCAGGGACGTGGGGCAGGGCGCGCCTCTTGAGATCCCTGCCCTGCACACACAAGACCTCGCCCTGGAACTCCCTTAAGGCCAGGGCAGGTCCTCACTCCCCGAGAGTCTTCTTTTCCTTTATTTATTTGCAAAGGTGAGGAAGTCGGTTCATTAGATTTCCTAGGCGTTTCACCTCAGGAAACTGAGGAAAAAACGTTCCTCCTAGGAGCTGTACTAGGAGCCCTCTCTGTTAAGTTGAAGTCATTAACCGTCCTTCTCATTTAAAAAAGAAATGGTGTTAACCATAATCAGGTAGAGGTATTCAGTGATGAAGACTCCTAAAGGCACACCCCACCCACGAGGTGGCCTGGGCTGAATCAGGGCCTCCGGGTCGAGTGTGGGGCCTCGGTTTCCTTCTGCACGGAGGGTACCCCCTGGACCAGCATCTGCAGACCCCTCAGGGTCTTTGTTTCCTTGTGAGCCTTTCCACTAGTTCATGTTAGAAGTTTCTCCTCAGTAATTCTAGACAGATGATGAAAAATTTGTTCAAAAGTGCCACATCATCCAACTTCCTTTCTGTTTTCATCAGTGTGATTCATCTCTACCTACATTACTGAACACTTTCTCACAAATTGCAACACTGTTCCCACACATGTTACATTTTTTTTTCTGTTCCTAATACATTGAATGCCTGTTACAGGTATAATATTTCATATAATTTGCAGCAATTTCTTGGAAACCCTTGGTAAATACCTCAATTGTTTGTTGGCAGCAAGCCTTGAACAACTGACAGAGTTCCCTGTAAGGGCTTCTTTAAAGACACAGCTACTAGACTCCTGCCTCAAACAGGGGGCAATGCAAAAAGTGGTCATAATTTTTAAAACCTTTAGAAATGCCTCTTTTAAGAAACAGCAAATGCAGAGGAGGGAGTTATAAACTGTGCTTTCAGAAGGCTCTGTTCATGGCCTGCAAAGAAGAAAATCTATAATGACCATTTTACTAATATTACCACTTAACCTCTATTAACCCAATAAAACTTTGCTTTATTATTAATGCTGCTATTAAACTGACATTTAAGGTCCTCATTAGCTAATGAATTTTGCTCCCTGTTTCCCTTGTATTTGCAGCATTTCCAGCCAGATGCAGGAAAGGGCAAGTGATATGCCTTATGTTCTGGCTTCCATACACTAGTGGTTGCGATGCTGGTTGTGCTAGAATGTACTTTACACTTCCCTGTTCTGCTTATCAGCTCTGTCTGTTCCTCTGTCAGACACTGAGTCAGTGTGTGTTTCTCACACAAGTGCAAGGGTTTGTGTATATAGGAGAGAGAGACAAGGAACTGAGCACCCCTCTGTGTGCTGTCCGGATGGGATGTAATCTTACTAACTAGAAAACGTTGGCGGCCAGCACCAGGAAACTGCCTGAGTGTTCTCCGGGAGATAACTTCACTGCAGAGGCTGGCGACAGTTTGCTCCTAGTCTAAGACTTAATCCTTGTGGAGCAGAGCAGTTTGCCTTTCCCATTCATTGCAAGTAATGCCATTAATCTTTAAAGCCGTGCTGGAGTTTTCACAGCTGGAGAGTTTGCACAGACAAAGCTTCCATTTCTCAAGAGGGAAGGAGAGCCTCCCACCCCCAGACACTGGTCAGCTGGTCTGCCGCCTTGCCACCTGAGGCTGCACACAGTGGTGGTCAGGCCTGGGAGTCTCGTGGAAATGTTCCAGATGTGCAACTCAAACTCTCTTTGCTTTACTCTAGGCATAATGAAGCATAAAATTGCCTGGGGGTCGGGGCGGGGTGGTGGTGGTGGTGGAATTCAGGCTGCAGAAGAAGGTTTAAGCTTCAAACGGAGGCAGCAGAAATTCAGATCCACAAACACATAAAGGGCAATGAAAGGATAAGAAAACTGTAACACCATAAAACTCGATAAATGACCTCACCGCATGGCTCATTTATTTGTACACCTTGTTGTCATGCTATCATGCTCTGCTCAGGCTAGGGTCACAAAGATTTCTATCACCCAGTGATGGGTGATGAGATTGTTATCAAGCATGGTGGTAAGGCCTCTACCAGAGTTTAAAATAAACACAGTGGGATGAGACATTCTGCTGGGGAGTCTGGAGAAAGAGGCTCTGAAACCAGCTGGGAGAGCCAAGTCCTGCAACCCGTTTGGACAGCAATTTCATCACAGTGGCAAATTACTAATGAATTTACTTTTGACTCAGCACCCTCACTTCTGAGAATTTTTCCTCCAGTCATACCAGTACAGAATGACACTTGTACTGGATTATTCTCTGTCATCTGTGTGTGATAGTAAACGATTAGACCTGTGACCATTTAGAGGGGATTGAGGAAGTAAACCACACTGTACCCATCAGAGAATGAGATATTCTGCAGATGTAAAACAGGGCGACGAAACCCTCACCCTTCTTAGAGTGAGAGACTGCCATTCTGTCAGGACAAAAAGCAGAGAGAATAAGAATTTTGCTCATGTCTTTACAACAAAACACTAGAAGAAAAAACAAGAAATAAAAATGAAACCTGGGGTGGGTGGTGGGGCTGGTTGAGAGACATAAGCCAGGAGTTCCCAATGGATACTTTTAAATACCCTTCTGATTTTTTTAGTGTGTGACTGTATTATCTATCCACCTCTCCAAAAAGAGTACCCATTTCCTACAAGGTGAAGCCC